GGGTCACTCTATATAGTTAGAGATTTGGTGCCGAGTTTGGTGCAATGATGAAAAATTCTTATTTTTGCTTGTACTACAACATACCAAAGTTTTAAAAAAAACCACCGGTTCCGAAAACCCATAAGATGTGTGTGATGTCCTTTAACCGCATGTGCAACATGACATAACAAACATTGACTTTTTGCTTTGCAGCCTGCCAAATAGAATCTAGAGAAAAACATTCAACACATTCAAAACATTTAAAACCATTTGAAAACTTTAACAAATATAAAACTTTTACAACACATATGCGGTAACTTCTTACAGCTAGTATTAAATAAATAAAATAAAATAAAAACGAATATAAATATAAAATATGAACATATAAAACTCTCAACAGGATAAAAAGCACTATGACTATACTTTATTTTTTTTCAAGCTAGATTTTGGCATTGTCAATTTTGAAACATAAACAATCCCACTAATGCCGCTTATTGGTCGCTATTGGAAAACTGATGTCAACCTGCAGAAACACCTCATTTTGCGACAAATTAGGGTCAAGCGTTATTGTTTATGTTTCAAAGTTTTCAATGTCAAAATCTATCTTGAGAAAAAATAAAGTATAGATGAATTTGATTGTTTTTAAAGCTATGCAGACTAATGTTAAAAATATCTATATTAAGCCTATTTATCACAAAGTTTGCCAGTCTAGAGAATCTTGTTAAAAGAGAATAGCTCGGAGAATAGTAACCATAGTATGGTGATTTTTAATAGAAAATAACCTATTGCTCCTAATATTACTGCGAGGAATGTTTAAACCTATTACCGATAAAAGCTTGGATGAATAAATCATGTTGTTAATTATTTTATATAAAATACACAAGTCCTGCTGGTCCCTTCTTTGTTGTAATGTCTGCATATTTAGAAGAGTCTGAAGTTCATCATAATCAATAGAATCATTCTTTAAACTCAACTTGTAAGCAATAAATCCTCGAATAAATCGTAAAAATCTCCTATGTATTTTCTCTAATTGATATTTATGTTTATCATAGTAGGGTGACCAAACAGGGCTAGCATACTCCAGGACTTGCCTGACAATAGATGAATAGGCATTTCTTAAAGTAAATATAGTATTAAAATCCTTCAAACTACGCAATAAAAATCCTAACAACCTCATAGCTCTGTTGGAAATTCTTTCAATGTGGGTGCTCTAGGAAATTCAATTCTACATCCAAGTGGACACCTAAATCCCTCATGACATAAACTCTCTCCAGATTAATTCCCCCAATTGAATAATCAAAAATAAAAGGACTTTTCATTCTCCGAAAGGACATAATTTTGCATTTGTCTAAAATGTACATGCATTGCAGAAATCCTATGATTTCCAAATGTTTGAGGATTGCAAGGCGATTTCAGGGACTGCAGAGACTGCAGGGGGAATTGCGATCTAATTTTACAGATTGCCAGGTGATTTTTGCGATTGCAAAGTGATTTCTGGGATTGCAGCAAGGATATGAAAAACCTGGGAGCACATTCTCGAACTCTTTTTTTGAGAAAATAACAATAGCGAAGACAAATTACGGCTAAGTTGATACGTTTAGGAAATACAAGGCACTTTTCAAATTTTGTCCTATTTTAAAAACCTTCTAATTTCTTTATTAATCAAGATATCCAAAAACCAAATATCCAGTGGCATGACCAATTTTTTTTCCAGATGCCTCCGATTTTGGAACATTAACCAAAGTTGTGATTTTTTAAATGGGACACCTCGTATATTCTTTTTTCATTGCATAGTTCTTTTTGAGCTGATTTCAATCATACAAAGTTACACCTTCAATAGTGTTTGGGAAAAAATAGCGGAGTTTTTTTTCTCAAACCCATCGAAGGAAAAGTGCAGTGCAGGTGCTTTTACAGGAAGATTTGAACTGTTTATCTGATTGGTGCCAAAGAAATAAATTGTATCTTAATGTGAATAAATGTTGTTTTATAGGCTTTACCAGCCAGGCCTGGTGGAACGTTGGTGTCGAGCAGAGGGCCTGAACCATGGGCGTCGTTTGGGGGGGGGGGCAAGGGGGGGCATTTGCCCCCCCCCCCTAGAAATAGTCTTTTGAACAAGAAAGCAGTAAAAGAGAGTTCGTATTCGTATTGCTTTTTTGCATTTTTTCAAAATTTGTTAGGTACTTTGAAAAATTGGCTGACATTTTCATTACATTCAACGGAATTGAATTTCAGTTGACTTAGGGCCGGTATTATAAAACACTGAACCGATGGTAGAGTTCCAACCTTCGGTTGAATCCTATCAATCTGCATGGAGTCAACCCAAGGTTGAAACTGAATCATCGATTCAGTGTTTTATAATACCGGCCATTAGAAAATTACCTAAACAAATGCAGTGGCGACGCCAGGGTTCTATGTTAGGGGGGGGGGGGGGCAGACTGGGCCAGAAAAATTTAGGGGGGCATTTGTTTTTATTTTACTGCTTTTCTTCTTTGGAATAAAAAAATGGGAAGTACCTGTCGACACTATTATGTTTGAGGTAATCCCAGGAAACCGAAAGCAGCATCGTAGTTGCCTGTGCCCAAGAACACTCAACCTAAAAGAACTGCTTCTTCAGCTGAAAATGTCTGCCATGTCAGCCGAACACCTCAACACTTGGCGTAAAATGCATTAGCCGAGTTTAAAACAGTCACAGGTCATAGTAATCGTTATAATCTTGTTAAAATCACCTTTTCTACATTTAAAATTGACGCAAAAACCAGCACAACCTGAATCGCAAGCATCCCATCGAGGCCTGCGGGTAACGTCATCATTATAAGCTGTTATGCTGCTAACTAGTAGCAACGACTTACGTATTTTATACAAACATCGGCTTCTTAAATTGGTAATATTTTTATTTTAGCAATGTTTAGGGTTTCCATAAAGGTTTTTCGAAATTCAGGACAAAGGAGTCAAGAAATCCGGACAAAATCCGGACTTCGCCGAAATAGCTATTTATGCAACAAGTGTGTACAGTGAAAGACGAGTGCGACAAAATTCACATTCGTGGAAAAAGGTTCACTTTACACACGTATTGCATATACAAAAAAAATTTACTACCAATAAAATATGTATATGTGAAAAAATAAATTTAGACAAATACTTTACGTACTAGTACGTGAATCGTAAAGTGAAGTAATTTACTAGGAAAAAATTACAGTGTCGACATCTCTCATTGACATTACTTCACGCACTAGTGTGTAAGTAACTTACTTTACGTACTAGTGCACGAAGTAAGATTTTACGTTTTTTGAATAGTGCGTAAACTGAGTGAGTATGAGTGTTTGCACGATCTCCAAGTTTTCCGGACATTGTTCCGAATTCCGGCCGGACTTCCCCGGACACCCTAAAAACCCAAACATGTCCGGGTAAATCTGGACGTATGGAAACCCTAGCAATGTTTATTCAACTTTCAAACACTCTCTCAGTTAAATAACATATTAAAAAAACTATTTATACAAGTCACTTCCCTAACAAACGTTCTATCACGTCTACAGACGCTTTTAAAATTGAGTTCCCATAAGACATCAATGTATTAATTTTTGAACTAGGAACCCGCGCCAATTTGCGATTCTAACCTAACTAATAGGTTCGTTCCAACCCCCCGTTTTCGTATCGTCATGAAACGGTTTCGGAACTGCTAGGATCGATTGCAGGCGCATGCGTTGACCTTGCACGGTTTTATCTTGGTAGTTGGAACGGTTTCATGATCGTTTTCGTAATGACGACAGTTCAAATAACTTTAACCCTAAATTTGTTTGTTTGCAAATTAAAATAAAAGAATATAGGATTAGGATTACAAAATAATACATAAAAAAGGAAAATCGAACACCAACGCTGATTCATTGTCAAGAATCTAAAACTGAATCCTTGCAAGCTGATAACATCAAGGATTAGCAAATAGCTGATAATAAATTTTGTACTTTTTTTCACTTGAAAAAATAAAAATGCTACAGTTTTATAAGTTAGATTGGAAATTGGTTGTTTAAAAACAACAACAAAAACAGGTGACAAAAATTGAATTACGCATGTCAGTCATGAATCAGTCCACGCGGTTCTTGCTTTCCACTCGGGATCGAAATGACGGTGCTAAAACCAGTTCTCGAACGATCCCAGGTTTGGTTGGAACGCCAACGAAACTGTACGGTAAACGATCATCTCTCGGTTGGAACGCGTTTAACCTATGGCGCATGACTGTGACCGTACATCGTACGGTTTTTGGCTGGGTTGGAACGAACCTGGTGGTGAATTTACATTGCTGTCAGTCAAATTCCGTGTACGAAATGTACTCAAATGGTTTCGAAAATCGCACCCCTGTTTCCTATACCTAGAGGATTAAGAAAAAAAATTAGATGTCCTTTCACTATTCAGAGGTTTTGTAGTAGCACCTTCTTGGCATTTTTTCACCTGAAATTTCTCTGTGTAAAAACTAAAGAGAGTATTTAGTTTTCATCCATTAGAATCGACAATAATTAAGCTGGATTTATAGTGTCAGTATCAGTAACAGTAACAGTAAAACTTAAGAACAGATATGAAAATAACCATTTCTTAAGTTTTACTGTTAAGTTTGTTAAGTGAATTATAAATGGCTTTACGGCAGGCCGTGTTTTAATATTTTACTGTTACTGCTACTGTTACTGATACTGACACTATAAATCCAGCTTTTAAACGTTATTGAGGAAGGTAGACCTCCTTAGGATTTTCGCATACTTTTGAGAGAGATAGGTAAACGAGAAGAAATGGCTAATTTCACAGTGTAAAAACTAGAGGGAGTAGCTTTAATTCAGTAGAAATTATAAAAACAGAAATAATTAAAAGTTATTCTTTTTGGGAAGATTAGCATTTCTTTGCTATGTGTTGGGTTCGGGTCAGGGTCCTACTACTAGTAATAGAAAAGAAGATTCCTAAAATTCCACTGTGTAAAAACTAAAATTAGTAGCTTCAATTAGGTAGCCACAGAAATAGTCAAAAATTTAGAGAAGTACCTTCTTAGCATTTTTTTGCAGCCAGTTTTTCACGCCTTCGAATGCAATAAGCGTCTCAGGACTCTCGAAGAATTTGGTGTTCGGACCGCCGTCCATTTTTGGACCTATCGACATCATCTTCGCGCTTTCTTGAGGAATCCAAATCACAATCTATTGATTTAAATGGAAAATACACCGATAATTCGATAATTTTAAGATTTCATAGTTTGTAAATAATAGAAGCCGGCCGCCATTTTGGTATTTTGCGATGTTGTCAGATCTTTAACGGTTTCTGATGATCGATATTTCATAGCTATCGATACTAGATTTTTTTCAATACCTCAACTCTACTTTTCCATATATGAGAAAATATCGATACTTCCAGCTTCGATACTGGTTTTTCCATGATTCTTTCTTCCGGAGTTTCACGCGCTTATTCCTTTCGAAAAGTGTTTGTTGCACCACGCATCTGTTCCCTGCAATTCGGGGGCGACTGAACACCGGAGCGAGTAGCTCGAGTGTTTCAAGCTCTTGAAAGTAATACAACTAATACCCGCCCTTATCCAAACAACCTTGGAGTGCGTTCGAAATCGCCCTAGGCGTGACACCGAGTGCACACCAGCCCATGAATTATTCATAGCTGGATTGCGTTTAGAAATGGACCACTGTAGAAATGGAGTGTGAAGGTAGAGTATTTGTTTGTTAGAGTGTTCTGACGTCATCACTTGGAGTGCACTCTGGGTGCACCTTTTCTGAACGTAATTGGGGTGTTGCGCTAAATGTCAACGTCAAACCCGGTAAAAGCCTCGCGGGGCGTTTTTCAACCCAGTCCCTGAGTGGGGTAATTTGGGCGCACTCTGGGCACGTCAACTCTCGATTTCTGAACAATTCCAGCGGACGCTCCCAGTAAGCACCTGTTGATTTATGAATGGTTTAGAGTTACTCTAAGGTCACTCTCACACCCTGGGCTGCGTTCACATTGAAACGTCTGACAAGGTAACTTACCCGATAAATGACGTCATGGACAAATTGTGGGGCGATGGTTAAAGTGACGCACTGGACGCTTGTTGCTTGTTTGTCGACGTTGACATAACCCCACTATTATACCGACCACGGAAAATGAAAAAATTGAAAAGTGCAAAAAGTACTCCTAATTGTAATTTGGGCATATTTACGTAATATTTAGGTCAACTTATTGGGCAGTATATATATTCGGAATAATTTTTCCTTTTTATTTTGTTAATGTTAATCAGCTGACTGCCAACATTTCGAGTGTTATTTCTAAACGCAACCCTGGTGTGCACTCGGTGTGACGCCAAGGGTGATTTCGAACGCACTCTTAGATTGATCCAACAAAGGTAATATTATCACGCGACCAATGAACTATAACCAAAAACTGGAATGCGTACACATATTGACGAACGTGAAGCCTAGTGCCGCTGCTGCGGAGGGGAAACCTGTTTCTGTCGCACTCATTATGTTAAATGGCGGAAATTGCTTCCAACACGTATTCCAATTGATGAAACCTGTGAAGGAAAATATGACAAATCTTTCGAAAACGTCATATGTCAGCGAGCAACAGAAAAAAACAACATTCCCCCTTATGGCATCTGTCTTTCATGGCTACATTTTTTTGGCAGATATGGCAATGTGTGCGCATTCCAGTTTTTGGCTATAGTCCATTGCACGCGACCTACAAATGAACATCTGATTACTAGGGATGTTCAACCGGCGAAAAATAACCTTTTTTCGGTTAACCGGTTATATTTTACTAAAAAATAACCGGCCCGATTAACCGAAGTAAAATAAACCGGTTATCCGGTTAACCGATTTTTTAAAATTACTGATTTTATAGTGAATGCGCTAAGGTTAATAAAATTAAAAAAATCCTTGTAAATAGAAAATAAGTTGATCTCGAAGTTGATAAAACTTGGTAGTACTATACAGGGTGTCAATTTGAAAACTTCCCACCCCTATTATCTGGGAGTAGAAAAAATTTCGAAAAAATCCCTGAAACATTTCAACTATAATTTGAAGGGGGATGAGTTTTTATGCAAAATTTAACTTCCCTCTTTCAGCCCCCCAGCCCCCAGAGCCACCCCCTACAAACTATCATTTGACAGCAACTTCAAACTTAATCCATGATTAAAAATTTCGGTTGAAAATTTAATCTCCGGTTAAATTCAAAAATGTTGTCAAATGATAGTTTATGAAAATCTAAGACAAGAATGTAAGATCGGTTTTCCCCTAAAATTAACCGTTTAGGTTTTACAGCCTGTCAAAATAGTAAAAAAGTTAATTTTCAACTGTCAATATTTCCAAAATAGTTAAACTTAGGGACTAAAATTTAGTACCAAAATGTATGGAATTAAAAACCCTACAAAATGATGTATCACTTGACCCCCCTTCCCATTTAAAATTTTCTAGGGGGTGGCTCTAGGGGCTGGGAGGTTGAAAGAGGGAAGGTGAATTTTGCATAAAAACTCATCCCCCTTCAAAATTATAGTTGACGTGTTCCATGGATTTTTTCGAAAATGTTTCTACATTACCAGACAACCTATCAACTTGATCCTTATGCATTTTGACGATTTCAACTTGACAGTTGTCAACACATTCGTTTTATTATTCGGAATAATACAATTACGTCAACACTTTTCTATATTTATCTAATTTTAATAGTTTAAAAAAGATTTTCCTATTATGTATTCAGTATCAAAACTCAGATTTCTGGAAAAAATAACCTGTTTCCGGTTATGACGTTCTTGACTGAATAACCGGTTAATTACTGCTAGTGAAATAAACGGTTATAACCGATTAAAGTGAAGTGAATATATCGGTTATTCAAATAACCGGTTATTTTTGGACATCCCTACTGATTACGAAGAAAATAAGGAGTGATGCAAGAAAATAATCAGATTTTTACCTACAATCGCTAGAATCCAAAAACTATATAGAAATGGCGGGCTTCAATTTAAAAAAAAGTGGAAGTTCATGCGATATCATTGCCGAATAAAAGAAGGAAGAATTCGCCCTAAGCAACAACCTCTGTCTGCGACAGTCTGCTATCTGCTATTGCCACAACACGAAATTTTCATAGCGAGGGCTTTGTATAACTCGATATATCGTATCGATAAATCCTCCTCTGCACACTTCACAGGATCAAGGATAATACACAATACGCACACAGAATTATTTATCGGCCGACGGTTGTTTAAAACAAGGTTGCCTGATAACTTGTATGACGTCATCTGTATGCCTCAACATAATGCAAATCTCAATAAGTCACCCCAGATGCATCAATTGTGTAGCACCGTTGACGACGTCATCAACTACGTCGTCAGCTGTTTGTGCCAACAATCGTATTTTATAGAATATACATTTATAATGAAAAACAGTTTTGATTAACATAATAGATAAAGAGGAAGATGCAAACGTTAAACGTTGTTTTAGAATGAATTTACTAAAACCAAGTACGCATAAAGGAAAAGCCGGAGGAATCATAACCTGTGGTGCAACCACCCTACGTCAAGCCGAGAAACGACGCACTGCCTACATCATCACTGTTTCTTTGGCGGGGTAGGGGGCTTGATATTTGATCTACACAGGCCTTATGAGAATAAACTATCCTGTAGTAGTGTGTATTATCTTTGAGATAAGATATCCTATCCTCATTAGGCTTGTGTAGATCAAATCTCAAGCTCTAACTCACGCCAAATTAACAGTGATGACGTGGGAGCGGGTCGTTTCTAGCCTTAATGAGGGTGTTTGCAATTTTCACCACGGGTGGTTTATGCATACTTGGTTTTAGTAGAATAATCAACATTCTGAAATAACCCTTTTTCAGATCTCGTTTGCATCTTCCTCTTTGCCTGTTATGTTAATCAAAATTAAATAATATTTTTCATCATAAATTCATATTCTAAGTCACGATCGCTGACGCAAACAGTTAACGACACCATGAATGACGTCGGCAATGGTGCAACAACATATGACCTTGATTGCAGAAATGGTGCAACACCAAGGTTGTTTGAGTGAGGTACGTTGCCTGATAACTTTATGACGTCATCTGGGGTGCCTCAACATAATGCAACTTTCCATAAGACACTCCAGGGATGGTATTCTAGTCCTCGAAAACGCTCACCGCTTTAATAGTCGCTCGGAACTTCTAATGTGAACTCACATTAAAGTGCCTAGCGACTAAAAAGCGGTGAACGTTTTCGAGAACGAGAACCAGCCCAGAGATGCGTCAACATTTACTAGATAACCTATTAACTTTAGGAACCTTGGTGCAACACTATGAGCTTGATTCCAAAAATCGAGGCCGATGAGCTATCAATAGTGTGTAATATCCTTGCTGCTCATTGAGGTGAAAGCGTCTGCCATGTCCACGTGACAACTCCTGACTATTTGTGACTTCAGCCGCAGACAACTCTTGGCGTAAAATGCATATCTGAGTTGTATTCACCACGAAGCTAAATACTGAATAGTTAGGGGTCAAATGATAGTCTTGCCGTTCAATTTATGTTTGTGCAAGCAAGTTGATGGACATAACGGAACGTCTATCCCGGCCTTTAGATTGAACATTTGGACACCCCTGGATGAGATATTATTTTTTTTCCTAATTGCATGATTTTATTAGCTATTAAGATGTTTGGTGTGTTTTATTATTTATTCTATATTTAATTGAATGTGCAAGTTCCCTATTGTTTATTATACAATTTTTTTTGGAAACTGCCGCTAGGGGAATTTCTGAGCGGCGTCTATAGGCCAAAAAACGTATTCCTTAACGATATCCATCTTTTCCACCTTTAAAATCGACAAAAAAACTAACGCCAATCTCAGGAAATCTATCGAAGTCTGCGGTTGACGTCATCAGTATGAGCGGCTGCTAGTTGTATCGTCATCAGCAGACCTGCTGGCGAATGTACTCCTCTTATTAGGTTGAGCAATCCTATTTGGTGAAGTGTTCTTGATTCCGATCTTTCTTTTGGCTGTTAAGAAGTCAGCATTCAGCACGAGCAGTAATGCTCGATAACGATTTCTTATTCTTGAAACAGGGGAGCCGCGTTACGGAGAACGACTTCTCAATGATATGCAAATGATAATATAAGTAACAAAGACGGAACATTCATTCTCCTAGGAACGCTGCTCCCCTGTTTCAAGAATAGGGACTCTAGGATCCTGATATGTATCGATATAAACGAAACTATTAGTCCAAGAGCCGGCAATACTAACGGGTATGTGATCGTTGCAATGGATAATTTCTACATAAAACAACAGTTCATAGTAACCTTTAAACCAAATGGATGGGTTGCCTCGATTCTCATGGCCGTAAAGTTGTTCTATAAAAAGATACTTCCAAGAACCATAGGCGCAACAAATAAGAAGTACCTTGCGGTGTAGGGGGTTCTCATCATATGCGGCAAACACTTTATCAACACAATTTCATGTTTCTTTTTTTGTCTAAAGACCTACAGCCGTATGCAAAATCCTCTTCACAGAGTCCTCTTTTAACTATAAATGTGACTTTAAGGGCCGTCACTTCCAAAAATTTGTATTTAGCAAGCCAAATAACGCGTGCGCTCGACTTTCAATGAGGGTTGCCATCATTTCCGGCCATCAAAATCGAGGCCACCCTATGTATTATTTGAGAAGACATATTAAAGAATATATCTACCAATTTTCATCTATTGAAACGATAACATTGTTCCTACGGAAAAAGAGGGGTAGTTTACGCCCAGCCATCAAAGGGTTGCGGCCATGAGAATCGAGGCCACCCATCCATTTAGTTTAAAGGTAACTATGAGCTATTCTTTTATGTGAAAATTATCCATTGCAACGATCACATACCCGTTAATATTGCCGGCTCTCCTACTATATGGAAACTTTATGCTTATCATTGGATCAACACAGTGGATTTTCTGATAGATCTGCTTTCATACAGACAGATTCCTAATGGAACTAGTCATATATTTGAAAAAATATTTATTGCAATACCTTATACTTAAATAAAATAAATAATTTAAAATTAACACTTGCACGCTATCCCTTAAATAAATCATTACAGAGATTACAAGAAACATTGTAGATGCCATTAAAAAACTTATAATCTACACCTAAAACCTAATTTTCAACCAAGCGCGTCAACAGAATGAAGAAACGAGATTAACATTAGCTCTTAAGGCACTTATTAACACATCGACATAATAAAATATTGTTGGCTAAACTTTATCAGCTACAATAGTAATGGATAATTTTCTATCGGGCCAAGAAAAGGTCTTAGGCAAAGATAAAGCTTCAGGGCTAGCTAAAGCTTGAAAAGTAACTGCCATATCTTGAGCTAAGTCGTCTGGAATCAACACTTGTAACCATGAACCTTGAGATACATAAGGGTAATCTTGGTGTACTAAAGTTCCAGTAACTGAATGTGCTACAAGGGTTATAGCAGTTTCTCCTAGTACAGATTTAAAAGTAAAATGTCTACCATGTTTGACTCTGCCCCTGGAATAATAATTAAATAATTTACCATATGTAGGTATTTAAATAAATTAATATTACCTTATTGCTAGAGGAAGAAGGCTACCAGCTTCTAAATTGAATATCAAATGAACAGCGTCTAATTTTCTGCCTCTAAGAAATTCTGGTGAATCCAACGAGCTACCTAAGTAACTTTGATGAAACGGTGAATCTAGTCTTATGTCTTTGCAGTCTTTTCCAGTGAAATAATCTTGTTCTGACCAAGAACAACGGCCTGAAACTCCACTTAAATTTGAGCCATCCAATTCAAAACCTCTTTCAACTTCTTCATGTGCATATGGATCTAATTCAAATATACTTTCTCCTCTTCTCATATCAGTAATATGCCAGGCACCACCAGCACTAAAGAATCACCTAATAGAAATAATATTTAGAATCAAAAAAGTACATACGCCGGTAATCGTCTAAGAATATCCAAAATCCCTGAGCCATTCCATTGTTGAGCAGCTTTCAACTCTTCAGTGCATATTCCAACAATTTGCACAAAATCAACAGTTCCAAAAGGTGTCTGAGTAGTGTTAAGATGTTGGTCAGTCGTCATTAACATATGCTGAATCCTTGACTCACTATTATCTAGTGCACAGTGCCAAGAAACATGGTCACTTGAGCAAAGCGAATTTCCTGATTGAAAAACGTACTTGGCCAGTGATTGCATTAATGTTGCCGGCCATGTAGGTGGAGAAGTTTCATCAGGCTCTCGTTTTAATCTAAACGTTAATTCGAAACCAAATCCCGATGGTTGTTCTGATCCTGTTGGATCGTGTACTCTACCATCTCCATGCAAATCAGATAGGCCAAAACTTATGTAATGCCAATGGGGCGGTATATTTTCACTTGGAATGCCAGGATTTGCGTACATTGAGATGTAGTCTAAAGGATCTGGGCCACCCAACCTAAGTGAAGATATAAAATTGACAATAAAAAATGTTGTCATATTAGAACAAGTATAGGGTGTCCGAGAGTTTTTCCATGAAAAAAAACCAGATGTCAAATTTTTAACACAAAGCTTCCTAGATAAATAACTACCTAATGAAACCTATTGTCAAAGAATATTATAGTTAACACTTATATATACAGGGTGTCACGAAAGGTTTGTTACAAACTTCTAGGGATGGTAGATCTCGTAAAAATTAAGTTTTTTTTTCTGATAAACATATGTACGGAAATGCTTCGCTTTCCAGATACAGGGTGTTAATCTTTGTGAAAAAAATACAAAGTCTTCCCGCACAGCAAATCGTGTGGGAAGAGCCATTTCCCGCACGCTCGTAGAAAAAATTGATTTTTTTTACAAAGTTTTACACCCTGTATATCTGGAAAACGAAGCATTTCCGGACACATGTTTATTAAGAAAAAAGCTTTATTTTTACGAGATCTACCATCCCTAGAAATTTGTAACAAACCTTTTGTGACACCCTGTATATATTTTTTGACCCCCTGAATGGAGCCAGACTTTTCGAGCCGGGCTCCATCGGAGTGGTAGGCTCGCCGTAATCAACGTGGCTCTAGTTGATGGCTAGTCGGCGTTACCATATGTCCATATAAATATGTATAATAACTTTAAAACGGTGACCGCGCTGATGTGAAAAAACACGATATACGGGAAAAAAATGGAATGTTTTGTCTTGAAAATATCGCTGAAAAATTGCTAGACGATAATCGCAGTTCGAACTCGAGTTTCTTACAAAAATATCAAAGTTTTTCAATTTTTTTCTGGAAAACTGGCCAAGTAAAAATTGTGCAATTTTTCCAGGAGAAAGACGAAAGTGAGGAGCTTATTATAGGAAAATTTAAAAATTTTCGCAGTGAAAAATCACTCCAGGAGAAATTTATTTATATATTTTCGGATAACTGAATAAACTCTATTCTAAGTTAAAATAGTATATTTCCTAACTAGTGCGGAAAGTACCACTTTTCCGCACGCGATTGCAATTTGCCGAACGACGCTGCGAAGTTCGGCAAGCAATCAAGTGCGGAAAAGAGACTTTCCGCACGAGTTAGGAACACTATTTTTTCTACGAGGTGAAAGGTAATATTTTTATCTACATATTTATCAATTTAAGATATTTTTTTTCACTTTTCTGTACCTGTACCTGTATACAGGTACTTACAGGTAATATACCTATTTACCTGTAAGTACCTGTATACCTAAAAATTAGTGCACTTTTCCGCACGCTCGTAGAAAATAGCTATTTACCTAACAAGTGCGGAAAATGAATTTTTCCACACGCACGTAAAAAAAAGTTACTTTTACGAGAGTTAAACTTTTACCGCACGCATATCAGTGCGGAAAAAGTTTTTCCGCACGGCTGTCAGTGCGGAAAAAATTTTACCGCTCTGATATGTCAAAAAAAAAAGAAAAATTTTACATTTTTACGCCTGTAGGAAAAATATTGTACCCAACACTTGCGGAAGAATTCATTTTCCGCACTTCTTAGGTAAATAGCTATTTCCTACAGCCGTGCGGAAAAATCGATTTTCCGCAGTGATATGCGTGCGGAAAATGAGTTTTCCCGCACGGTGCGGTAAAACTTTTACCGCACGCATATCAGTGCGGAAAAATATTTTCCGCGAGTGTTAGGTACAATATTTTTCCTACAGGCGTAAAAATGTAAAATTTTTCTTTTTTTTGACAGATCAGTGCGGTAAAATTTTTTCCGCACTGACAGCCGTGCGGAAAACTTTTTCCGCACTGATATGCGTGCGGTAAAAGTTTTACCGCACCGTGCGGGAAAACTCATTTTCCGCACGCATATCACTGCGGAAAATCGATTTTTCCGCACGGCTGTAGGAAATAGCTATTTACCTAAGAAGTGCGGAAAATGAATTTTTCCGCAAGTGTTGGGTACAATATTTTTCCTACAGGCGTAAAAATGTAAAATTTTTCTTTTTTTTTTGACATATCAGTGCGGTAAAAATTTTTCCGCACTAACAGCCGTGCAGAAAAACTTTTCCGCACTGATATGCGTCCGGTAAAAGTTTAACTCTCGTAAAAGTAACTTTTTTTACGCGTGTCATTTCGTCAGCACCCCTCAAATTTGGAGCCTAGTTGCGTTTATGCACATCCTGAAAATGCCAGACAAAAAAAAAATGACTCCACTCAACATTCCCTATCTCAGGCAGAGCATAATTTTGTTTTAGTTTATATATTTTCTGTTTCATGTATAATTAAGTACCTACCTAATATTTATCAGAATAGATGTATCTCTTATATTAAATTACATTACCTATTTAGAAGACCGATTTTATTTCCTAAATACAGCAAATTAGACGTAGCAACTAGGTATTCAGTAGCAACTGTATTATTTTATGAATGTCTATTATATGATTTATTGTAATTTTTGTTTTTTTTTACATATCATCTAATAATGTCGATGTAAAAAATAATATTCTGAAACCGCCGCGCCAGTTAGTCTATCATCTTACAAGGTAAAATCACAGTAAATATTAAATGCCCGAGAGGAGGAGCGCGCAATGCTGCTAAAATTTGTTTGCCGGAAAGCTAGCGCGAATATAAATTATTTCAATTTATACCACCGGAGCAGCGCCTCTAGCGGTCTGCCGTCGCCCATAAGCGTAGTCTGATACTCGGACGGAATGTGAGCTGCTGGCTCCCTACATTAGAACGCCAATGGTTACCTGACGTTACACCTGTTTTTGCTATATGAAACACCCCCTCGCTCCTCATACCGCAAGTGTCAGTTAAAAATCGACGAACAATATTGAGATTTTTGAGATTATATAAAGCAACATGAGCTCTATCCAATCAATGAAAAAAAAAGATGGCGTTCCCATTTAAAAAAAAGATCAATGACGTCATATCTTTGAGAGAATTTTTTTTTCCTATATCTCTGTGTAACTTTTCCCTACACGTCTTCTTATACCTATTTCCAAAATTTTATCAAATTTCATCGAGCCGTTTTCTCAGAAAAATGCCAACACACACATACAGTCGTGAGCACAAAAAGTGGGACACCCGTTTTTTCCTATTGTAAACCGGACTCACCAGCTATACCTACGGCCGAGCCTACGGCAATGACAGGGATTGTCATATTTGACAAAAAATCGATTGTAGAGAAAATACTGATTTACGCAAAATAACGAAAAATGACAAGATCTGTCAGTCGGGTGTCCCACTTTTTGTGCTCATGACTGTACATACACACATACACACACACAGACAGAAATGTGCCACCTTGCTAAAAAGGCTTAAAATGATCCAAAACTTCAAGATTTAATGGAATTTTGACATGGTCAAAATCGGGCTATCACCATAAATCCTTCCTTCCTATCTAGGAAGCTAAATATATGATATGAATTTTAATTGAATTTATCCGTTACTTTACGGACACACTGTATATTTTGTGTATATTCAGGCTCTCCTATTATTCAAACTTAGGGCAATACTTTGAAAATCTTGAAATACTTTTATCAAAACTGCCACCCAAGGCTGGTTTGATACTAGGGGAAGACTTTAATATAAATTTTGACGATGACAGATCAGAGGCGAAGCAAATTCTGTCTAACTTGTTTTTATCATTTAACCTAGAGATGTATGTTACTGAACCTACTAGAATAACTACTCACTCTCAAACCTAAATCGATTATTTATGTTCAAATTTTATCTCAAAGCAAATGTTTGTTAGCTGTAGTGTAATTCCTGTAGGCCTTTCGGATCACGAGGCAGTATAAGCAAAATTTCAACTTGCGGTAAATGAACCACCCAAATATAAAGTTGGTAGACTACTTAGCAGTAACAATTATAAAAAAATTTAAGATATAAGGAGCTTAATGAAATTTAGAGCAATAAAAAACAATAAATCCAGTGGGCGTTATCATGTACAGGGTGCTGCAATTTGGAGTGTTTCAACAGGAAAAACGTACTTCCAGACCAGATAGAGGAAAATTGACTTAGATGTCATGGGATCGATTTTCGAGAAACGTCGATTGTCAAAAACCGTATCGCGATATCTTCAATGGTACCATTAATACAGGGCGATTTTCGATTTTCCCCTATTATGAAAAATGGCTATAAGTTTTTTATTTATATATTTTTTTTATTTCTGTAAAAACATTATGAAGACACTTTTTTGAGCACAATCCAGTGGCAGACTCGATTTTTTTCGATATCGCTCCGATTTCGAGATATCGACCAAATTCCGATATTTTCAAATGAAACTCCCTATATATTTATAGCTCATTGGATAGCTCTGTTTTTGCTGATTTTAATGATATGAAGTTCGATAGGTTTATCTCTAATAGTTTTCGAGAAAAAATTTTTTATCTGTTTTTGTCGTAAGGGCCAATGTGTTAGAAAAGGATTTTATATGTGTAAGGAAAGTGAGAAAGGTCTCTTTCTAACACATTGTTTCTTATGACTGAAACAGATATAATTTTTTTTCTGGAAAACTGTTAGAGATAAACCTATCGAACTTTATATCATTGAAATCAGCAAAAACAGAGCTATCCAATGAGCTATTAATATAAAGGATGTTTCATTTGAAAATATCGGAATTTGGTCGATATCTCGAAATCGGAGCGATATAGAAAGAAACCGAGTCCGCCACTGGATTGTGCTCAAAAAAGTGTCTCCATAATGTTTTTACAGAAATGAAAAAAATTCATAAATAAAAAACTTATAGCCATTTTTCATAATAGGGGAAAATCGAAAATCGCCCTGTATTAATGGTACCATTGAAGATATCGCGATACGGTTTTTGACAATCGACGTTTCTCGAAAATCGATCCCATGACATCCAAGTCAATTTTCCTCCATCTGGTCTGGAAGTGTGTTTTTCCTGTTAAAACACTCCAAATTGCAGCACCCTGTACAGCTCTGTAATTGTCGTCGTGTCGTAATGTTTTTTTTTCTCGTCGTCGCTGTCTTTTCACAATT